TGGCTGCGGTTCCATCCTCGTCCAGCGGGCCGGCAGAGCGCGGGGGAACCGGGGGCCGGGGCCACTGACGCCCGTCCGCTCGCCGCGGCAGGCCCATGTCGGAGGGACCTGCTCGGCCCCGCAGGATGTCCCAGCCGCCCTCCATCACCCTCCACGTCCCCGAGGGCACCGAGAGCGATGGGTGAGTGTGACCCTCCCACTGCCCCGCTGTGCCCCTGCTCTTGCACCCCAGTGGCATGAGGTCTCTGTGTCCCTGCAGCCAGGAGCCGAGTCCGGACAACGAGAGAGCCCTGCACACCTCCTTCCACCAGCTTATCCTGGAGCAGAGCAGCTTGATCGAGGCAGGTCTGGAGCTGGAGATGAAGGAGAGGGACAGAGGTAAAAGCACTGCAGCTGGGGCAGGCTGAGGGCAATGTGTGTGCCCAGGGCCATCCACCCACCCTGACCCTGCTTGGGCTGGCTGGGGTACATGCCATGGCTGTGGCCAAAGCCTTGAAGGAGCCTGCTGATGCCTTGGCTGGTGCAGGGCAGAGCAGCTCTTGGGGACATAAAGAGTGTCCCTGGAGTAGGGGGTACTCTGGGGGAAGCACACACCAGGACACACACCTGGCCTCTGTGCTGGAGCGGAGCAGTGGGGACACAGGGATGAGCCTTGGGCACTCTGCATCCTGCCTTCCCCCTCCTAGAGTCCCCGGCCTGCCTGGCTCCCCCAGACGCCTGGCCAGAGCCAGGGCAGGGTGAGCAGTACCCTGGCTACTGCTCCGCCTCCCTGCAGATCCTGGCCAGCATGCCCAGCCGCACCATCGGTAGGTGCCACCTGCCCTCCCGCCTTTCTCCAGGCCCCAGAGCCTCTCAGAGAGCTCTCCCGCCTACCCTGCTCTCCCACAGCCACTCAAACCCTGCCCTGCTCTGGCCTGCAGGACGCAGCCTCGGGGCCATCATCTCCCAGTACTGCAACCGTACGGCCCGGCTGCGGCGCCGGAGCAGCCGCCCGCCCCTGCAGCAGCTGAGCCGTGCGGCGCGGCCCAGCCTGCGGCACTACGACCTGGACACTGACCCCGTCAGGGCCACGCTGGAAGGTGAGGGTCCCCTGGAGCGGGAGCAGGCAGTGCCAGGCACTGTCCCTGTTCTGAGTTTGGGAAGGGCATGCTGTGACATGGCTAGCTGTGTCCCACTGAGCCCCCTGTGCCCCAGACAAGTGGAGCCTGCTGGTGAAGGAGCTGCTGAGCCTCTCGCCCTACCAGCGCAGCCAGATGCTGCTCACTTTGCCCATCAGCCTGGCAGAGAAACGCACCCTCCGGTAGGTCCCCTTGCACCAGCCCCGACCAGGCAGGGCTCCCACAGCCAGAGCCATCCCGGGACCTGTGGTACCCTCTGACACTCCTCTCTGCTGGGCAGGCGGCAGGTGAACAGGCAGAGGGGCCTCCTGAGGCAGCGTGCCCAGCACTGGGCCCCCTCTTCGCCCTGTGGATGGTCCATCGTCTACATCGGCCTCGTAAGTCAGGGCGCGGTCTGCACAGCAACGTAGGGGCTCCAGTGCAGGCTCTGGCTCTGGTGCTCTCCCCAGGTTCTCTCTCCCCAGGGCTGCCGAGGTCTCTGGTACAGGCTCCTCTCCCTGCTCCGCACCGCGCAGCCCTGGCACTACACCTTGAAGCAAATCAGTGGCCGCTTTGGCTCCAGCGTCCTCTCCTACTTCCTCTTCCTCAAGACGCTCCTTATGTTCAACTTCTTCTCATTTCTCATCCTCCTGGCCTTCGTGGTGGCCCTGCAGGCTGTGTACCCCCCTACCTCGGCCAGCCCCCCCCCCTTCACCGGCCTGGAGCTCTCACAGGACCCGTAAGCACGACCACGCATCAGGGCCCGGGCATGCCCGGACAGGGGCTGCTCCAGGCCTGGGGTGCAGCCCCACAGCCCCACCACAGTGATGCCCCAGTCGCTGCCCTTGCACAGCTGGGCCCCAGGACTGCCAGTGCTGTGGGTGCAAAGGGGGTGCCTGGTGCTGCCCCAGCCTAGGACTCTGTCCCCGGGGCTGGCACAGAGGTGCCAGGCTGGCTGGGGAGCTGCAGGCACCGCCAAGGTCCCCATGGGCCACATCCTGTGCTTTCCCACAGGGCTACTTCACACACTCACTGCTGTACTATGGCTACTACAGCAACATCACCCTCAATGACCCCTGCACCCCTGGCTCCAAGGGCAGCGCGTGCCCCCCTGCAGCCCCCCTGTTCCCATACAACATGCCACTGGCCTACCTGTTCAGCGTTGGGGTCTCCTTCCTCATCACCTGCATCCTGCTGGTGTACTGGTGGGTCAGCAGCACCTACGGCACTGCCAGCCTTCCCCCTTCACTCAGCCCTGATCCCTGATGCCCTCTCCCTCAATGCAGCGTGTCCTGCTCTTTTCGGGAGAGCGTGGGAAGCTCCATGGGGGACCTGGCTGTCAAAGTCTTCTGCGCCTGGGACTTCAAGGTGATCCAGAGGCGCTCAGTGAAGCTGCAGTGTGAGAACTTCTGCACCCAGCTGAAGGTGAGGAGCTGGGTGATACAAACACCCCCAATCCCACTCTTGCATCAGCGCTTTGTCCATCATCCCTCTAGGTCCTGCCACAGTGCAGTGGGACAGACCCTTGCTCTGGACACGGAGCAGGTTTGGCAGCTCTGGCACTGCTCTCTTCCAGGAGCTGCTGGCAGAGCAGCGCTCCCGCTCCCACTCCCAGAGCCTCTGCCAGCGCCTGAGGCACTGCATCGTGGTACTCCTGGCCTGGACCCTGGCACTGGGCTCGGTGCTGGGCTGCACACTGGCTGTTGCCCACAGCTTGATCTAAGCCACATGCTGTGAGTCGTAGTGCCAGCCCCTCGCCCTGGGTTGGAAGGGACGTGGCAGGGCGAGGTAGCGGGAGGGAGGCAGGGGGCAGCCCCGCTTGCACGGCTCTCTCCTGGCCCTGGATGTTTTGCTGCCTTCCCTAAGGATGCCTGGCTGCCCAAGTCCGTGTGCTCACCACAGTACCTGCTCACCAGGTTCAGCAAGAGCAGCGAGCATGGGGCAGTGGCAGGTGGCAGCAGGAAGCCATCCTGCTGGTCCTGCCCCTCGTGGTATCTCTCCTCAATGCACTGATGCCCCACCTGTACAACTTGCTGGCGATGTGGGAGAAGCAGGACTCCCCTGTGACACAGGTCTACGTGGCCATCTGCAGGTGGGCTGGCTGGGGCTATGGTGAAGGGCGAGTCCTCCACCCCCACCTGTGGCATGGGGGATGCTTTGGGGCCAGGCACCCTGTCTGTGGGGCTTGGCCCCTCCTTCCCCTGGGCTCAGGGGCTCCTGGCCCTGCTCCTGCTCTCCAGGAACCTCATTCTGAAGATGGTGGTCCTCAGCCTGCTGTGTTTCCAGTGGCTCAGCCGGAGTGTTGTCTGCTCAACAGAGGAGGTCAGCACTGCTGCCCTGGGGCTGTGAGGGGCCAGGCTCAGCATGGGGCCATGGAAGGAACTGGTGGTTTCTTCCTTATTAGATATTAGGAAGAAATTCTTCCCTGTGACAGTGGTGAGGCACTGTGCACAGGTTTGCCCAGAGCAGCTATGGCTGCCCCATCCCTGGAAGTGTTTAAAGCCAGGTTGGACAGGTCTCGGAGCAACTTGGTCTAGTGGAAGGTGTCTCTGCCCATGGCAGGAGGGTGGAATGAGATGAGCTTTAGGGTTCCTCCAACCCAAAGCATTCTGTGATTGTATGTCACCCTTGCTTGTATCTCTAGTGCTGGGAGACATGTGTGGGGCAGGACCTTTATCGCTTTGTGGTGATGGATTTCATATTCACCTTGCTGGACACGCTCTTTGGGGAGCTGGTGTGGAGGTAACGTGCCCCAGGATGTGTCCCCCCCCCGGTGTTGCGTGCCTGCATGGCCCCAGCTCTCTGGTGTGCCCAGGCTCTGCTACATCAGAGTGGGTGCAAGGGTCCCCCTGGGCAGTGTGGAAGCAGAGCTTTGCTCCTCTCCAGGCTGATCCTGGAGAAGAGGCTGAGGCAGAGGCCCGAGTTTGACATTGCCCGAAATGTGCTGGAGCTGATCTACGGGCAGACCCTGACCTGGTGAGATGTCTCTGCCTGATGTGGCTCCTTCCTCTGCTGGCAAATACCTTGTGTTCCTCAAGAGCCCCGTGGGTGCCCCAGCTGTGCCCACCAGTGGCTCCCTTGGGGCTCAGACCCAGGCGAGCTCGTCTTCCCCCCATTCCCAGGCTGGGCATTCTCTTCGCTCCACTCCTGCCGGCCGTGCAGATGCTGAAGCTGCTGCTGCTGTTCTATATCAAAAAGGTGTGATTCCCTCTGCCCCCTGCAGTTCCCCACTGGTGACACAGCAGTGACACTGTGCCCTGCCAGTGCCAGCCTCTGCTGCAGCAGCAGTGCTGCACAGAGCAGCCCCGTCCTGGTGGGACTGAGCAGAGGTTGCTGGGGAGAGGGTGTCCAAGCTCACTTGGCTTCCAGCGGGTAGGAGGGAGAGGACAGCAGGGTGGGGGCCACACTTCAGGAGCCGGCAGCCCACAGGACGCTGCTCCCTGTTCACAGACCAGCCTGATGCGGAACTGCCAGTCCCCCAGCAAGCCCTGGCAAGCGTCGCATATGAGCACCATTTTCATCACCCTGCTGTGCTTCCCCTTCTTCCTGGGTGCAACCATCTTCCTCTCCTACACCATCTGGTCGTGAGTACCCACGAGGCCATGGCATGGGGCACAGGACCCCTGGCAGCCTGGAGACGGAGGGG